CCCTGCACAGGGCAGGCACGGCACCGGGGTGAGGGGTGCCCTGCACAAGGCAGGCACGGCACCGGGGTGAGGGGTGCCCTGCACTGGGGTGAGGGGTACCCAGCACAGGGCAGGCATGGCACTGGGGTGAGGGGTGCCCTGGTCGGGGGGTGTCTGCCACCTGTGCCCCACTGGGAGACCCCAGGGACTGATGTACCTCGGGTGGTCTGCCCCAGCCACATGACTCCCACCATGGCACCCACTGGCACCAGAACACTGTGGCCACAACCCCCCTGGTCGGTCTCCCTGAGGGACTCGGTGCCAGAGTGGGGGTACAGTGGCCTCCAATCCTGCCACACTGGCCCCTCTGGCCCCACCAAGGCTGGGGCACTCCAGGGACCCAGTGGTGCCCTTGGCACCAGTATCTACTCCCACTGCCTCCCACTGCACTCCGGCACCTCCCAGTGGGCTCCAGCTCCTGCTGGAGCATCCCCTGGGCTCCGGTCATGCCCCCAGCACCACTCGCCCACCTTGGCATTGCCCAGCCACCTCCTGCAGCACCCAGACACCTCCGGCACCACCTGGCCACCTCTGGCACTGTCCATCCCCTCTGGGGATGGCACTGCTTGGCCATGTCATCACTGCCCGGCCACCTCCAACACCATTCAGACACCCTGTCACTGCCTGGCCATCTCTGCACCACCTGGTCATCTCTGTCACTGCCGGGTCAACCTCTGCCACCTCACTTGGCCCCCTGGCATTGACCAGCCACCTCTGCCATCCCCTGGCCTCCACAGCACCACCTGGTCACCTCCAGCACCAGCTCGTCACCTTGGCACCGCCCAACCCGCGGGTTCCCCCGTCCCTCTGGGCTCCTACCTGTGTGACCTTCTCGGTGACGTTGTGGGTGCGGTCGCGCAGCTTGGTGGGGGCGATGATGGGGCGGGGGGCCGGGGGCGGGGCCAGGAGCCCCCCAGGCTGCAGGTCCACGAAGTTGAGGGTGATCTGTGGGATGCGGCCGATGGCCCGGAACCGCGCCAGGTCCGAGTCCGACGTGGAGTTGAGCAGAGCACTGCGCACGGCGGCCACTGCGCCTGCCAGGGGACACTGTCACCGGGGGACACGGACACCCGGGGGGACACGGACACCCAGGGGGGACACAGACACCCGGGGGGACATGGACACCCGGGGGGACATGGACACCCGGGGACACACGGACACCCAGGGGGACACGGACACCCGGGGGGACACAGACACCCAGGGGGACACGGACACCCAGGGGACACGGACACCCGGGGGGACACGGACACCCAGGGGACACGGACACCCGGGGGGACACGGACACCCAGGGGACATGGACACCCGGGGGGACACGGACACCCGGGGGGACACGGACACCCGGGGACACACGGACACCCGGGGGGACACGGACACCCGGGGGGACACGGACACCCGGGGGTCCCACAGTGGGCAGGGCACTGGGGGGACATGGACCCTGGATCCCGGGGTGCGTCCCATGGCTCCCCAAGGCTCCTGGGGCAGGGGTCCCACAGCTCCCCACAGATCCCAGGGTTGGGGTCCCACAGCAGGTAAAGCGAGTGGGGAGCTCCAGGGCAAGGGGGCCCCCTCAGCCATGTGCCACAGGAGCCCCCCCAGGACCTGTGGAGCTGCTCTCAGTTACCCTTAATATCATTATAATTATTGTCCCTTCTCTTAATGCGCTTAAAGAGCTCCAGGGCCAACAAGGTGATTCCCGTGGTGATTCCCGTGGCGATTCCCACGGTGATTCCTGAGGTTCAATGTGGCTGAGGGGGGGGGGGGGCCTGTAGGGTGGGCGGGGGGGTTCCAGTGGTGATAGGGGGGTCGCAGGAGGCACAATGGGGGTCTCAGGGGTGATGGGGAGTTCCAGCCCCTTGCCAGCGCTTGGGCACTGCCGGGGGGTCCATGGGGAATGGGGGGTCACCAGGGTCTCTGGTTGTGGCTGCTCCAGTGTCCCCAGCCCCAAGGAGCGTCCCCTGTGCCGGCGGGGCCGTACCGGTGCTGGAGCCGCGGTGCAGGCCGGCGCTGGCGCTGGTGTGGCGGCTGTGGCAGCGCTTGTCCCCGTCACCCTTCATGGCCTCGATGTCATCGACGGACGACGCCCGGCGCAGGCTGCGGAGGCTCTCCCGGGACCGGCGCTCCCGGGACCGGCTCCGGGCCAGGCTGTGGTTGGCGAAGGCCAGCGCCAGGCGCTCGGCCCGCGGGGACGACTGTGTCACCGGCGGCTCGGGGTCCCCCATCAGCGCCGCCTCGTCCTCGGGACGGTCCCCGGTCCCGGGCTCCAGCGAGGATGAGGCATCCTCGGGGCCCGAGTCGCTGCCTGGCAGGGCCGGGTCCATGACCAGCGGGTCCACCACCCCTGGGTCCATGACCCCCGGGTCCACCACCCCCGGGTCCACGACCACCACGTCCGGCGGCTCCGGCGGCTCCGGGGGCAGCGACTGGCGGCTGCCGGTGAGCGCCAGCAGCTTCAGCCGCAGGGACCGGCTGCGCCCTGGGGGAAGGACAGGTCGGGGTCAGGGCTGGGGCTGGGGTCAGGGTCCAGCTCCAATCCCCTCCCCATGGTGCTGCTTCAGCCACAGGAACCGGCTGTGCCCTGGCGGGAAAGGACAGGGTGGGGGTCGGGGTCAGGGTTTCGCCTCAACCCCCACCAGTGTTGCCCAGCAGCACCGAGGCACCCTCTGCCCTCACCATGTGCCCTACAGTGCCCTGTGCCCCTGGGACATGGGGTCAGCAGGACCTGGGGTGACACAGGTCCCTTCCCCACCCGTGGGGACCCGAGGGGGGGGTGACCCAGGGGTTGGTGTCCCTGTCCCCTGTACCTGCAGGGCCCCAGGGGGCCGGGGTGACCCAGTGGTTGGTGCTGGGGGCCGGGGCCTCCCCCGGCTCGGGCTCCCTCACGGCCTCGAAGTTGAGGATGAACATGATGACGGCGCCATCCTCGTTCTTCACCGGCACCACGTCCACCAGGCACGGGAAGGAGCTGCCTGCGGGGAGGGGGGTCAGTGCCACGGGGGGACAGCACCCCCCTAGGGGCACCCCTGCCTGCCCCCCACCCCACATACTGGGGGACACTCCCCCGCCCCTCCTGGACACCCACTCCTGCCCCCACTCTGCTGGGCAACCCCTGTCCCTGCTGGGCACCTGCTCCTGGCCCCCAAACCATCTAAGCACCCCCTCCTGCCCCCCCCCTCCTGGGGGGCACCCCATCCGGGGGGGCATCCCATCCTGCCCCCCCATCCTGACTCAGCCAGGTGCAGCCCCCCCTGCAGCTGCACCACGGGGGGACACTGAGGCACGGGAGGGCAGAGGAGGGTGGGGGTGGTCCCCATCCCGCCCCCCCAAACGCTGCAGGCAGGGCCATGCGGGGAGGTGGGGGCACGGGGGGGCTCTGGGGGTGTGGGGCCGGGTTAAGCCGCTCAGAAGTCGTTAACAGCTGTGGCGTTAATCCGGTGCCACAGCTGGAGGGGGGGCCGGGGCGGTCAGGGCAGCCCGGGGTAATCTCTGTGTGATGGGGATGGGGGGGCATCCTGCCCCCTCCCGCGCCCCTCCCCCTAAGGGGACCCCGGGGGGACACAGGCGGGTGATAACAGGGGTGACACGTGGGTGACGCCACGGCACCGGATCACCCCCACGGCGTTGTCCTCCCTCTGTGTCCCCCCCGCTGGCGCCGGGCCCGGCAGCCTGGCAGGGCGGGTGCCAGCTGGCACCGTCCCCGTCCCTGTGCCCGCGGCGGGGGGATTCCCTGCTGCACGTGGGGCCGCGGGCCGGGGGCCAGCACAGGGTGGCCCGGGCCACCGCGGGGTCCCGGCCGAGCCACCGCCGTGGGGAATTAGTGGCACTAACACGTGGCCGCCGCCGCTGTCGGCTTCATCCGCCCCCGCGGGAATCCCGAGCCCCCGAGCCCAGGGACTCTGGCCCCCCCGGCCCACTGCCCACAGGGGAGTGGCCCAGGGTGGGGACTATGAGGGCACCAGCGGAGTGGGGGGTGATGGGGGGATCAATAGGGGGACCCTCGTGGCGAGGGTGATGGCAGGACCAATGAAGGGACCCCCGTGGTGGGGACACACACTGCACTGCAATGGGACCCCCCCGGCACATCAACCCCCTGCACCCCAACTGCACCCCTCACCTCCAGAGCTGCACCCCAAATCCACCCTGTACCCCCCACCCAGCACCCCCTGCATCACTGCCCAGAATGGCCAGGGGGCACTACCGGGAACCCCAAAGTGGGGGGACCCCCCTGCACCCCAAAGCCCTGTAGCCCCCCAACCTGCACCCCCATCCCTACACCCTACTCTGCACCCCCCGCACCCCCACACACGTAGCCTGCACCCCCAGACGTGCAGCCAGGACAGGGACACTCCGCTGGCACAGGGGGGACGGCCAAGCCCAGAGGTGCCACCTCGTGCCACGGTGACACAGCCCCGATCCAGCTCCTCGGTGCCCTCGGCCGCTCCCGCCCTGCGCTGACACCGGGGCCACGCACGGGGGGACCCCAAAAGCCACGGCAGCAACTGGGGGGCTGTGCACCCTCCCCATTCCCTGGGGACACTGCCCGGGGAGCCCGAGGTCCCACGGGTGCCACCACGGGGACACGGGTCCCCCGCGGGCGCCGTGACCTCCCGGCGTCCCCGGCGCCATAAACAACACGTCGGGAAGACGAATGGCTGCGGCAGCGGCGGCGACGCGGCGGCTCCACAGCCCCGCCACGGCCCCGCCACGGCCCTGCCACGGCTCTGCCACGGCACCGGGGACCGGGACACGCCGGGGGCTCGGGATGGGGGGACGTGGGGCGGGGGTCAGCATGACTCCAGGGGCACTCGTGGGGTGGCAGCGGCACGGGGAGCACGGGGAGCACCAGGAATGCCGCAGCCCAGCCACAAGGCCGGAGCCATCGGCAATAGGATCCCTGCCTCCCGTGCCGGGGGTGGGGGGGTGTCTCAGTGCAGTGAGGGGCAGCAACGGGACCCCATGAGACCCCCCCAAGCCAGCCCCACAGTGGCAGGTGGCACTGGCATTGTGTCACGGAGAGGGGCGCCCATGGTGGTACCACCACAGCCCCAGGGCCAAGACCCACCAAAACAGTCTCCAGGCACAGGGCCTGTCTGTGGGTGCAGGACACCCCAGATCCAGGGGTCACACACTGCCAGGGGGTCCCACCCCCTGTCCCACAGGGCAGCCGGTCCCCATGGAGGGCAGTCACGGTGGGGGGCCGCAGAGCACCCCCAGGACCCCTATCACACATCCCCAGGGGTCCAATAGCAACACCCAAGGCTTGGCAGAGGGTGGGATCCCCACACCCCTCGGGAGGCACAGCTGGGGTCCCCTGGGAGCCACAAGAAGGTCCCGGGCAGGAGTACGAGCCCCATCCCCATGCCTGGCACGGCTGGTGGCACCACCAGGGTGATTAGTGCCACCCTAATGAGGGCTCAGCACAGGGTGCGGGGGGGCACTCACATGCCACCTACACCCCACAGCCCCCGGCACACGCAATCCAAAGGGCACCGGGGCGTGCCGGGTGTGCCAGGCAGTGCCGTGGTGGCAAGGTGGGGGGCCCAGGGCCAGAAGCAGCGCCCTCCACCCCAGCCCAGCCCCATCAGGGCCCCCAGAGCCACCGTGGCTCCCGTGGTGCCGTGGCCACGCCGGCAGCTGGCACCAGCTTTGTTTACTCCGGCACCGGAACTAGGGCCGCGTGCCCAGAGCTGGGACACATGGCACTGGCACGAGGCCATGGTGAGGGGCAGCGCCGGCACCGCCAACGCGGGGTGCCAGCCCTGGCCTGGGCTCTGGGGGTCACAGCATCCACCCCCTGGCACGGGGACCCTGGGATGTCACTCTGTCCGGTGACCCCACACACACCCCAGAGGGACGGTGGAAATGTGACACTCGACACCGGCTCAGCCCCCGCCACTCCCGTGCCCTTGTCCCTGGCCCAGGTGACACGGTGCCCCCACACAGCCTGTCACCCCTCTGCGGGGGGGGGGCACTGCACACTGCTCCCAGCCCACAACCCCAGCCCCACAGCACACGACTTCCTGGGACCCCAGCTGGCTCCCTGGTTGGGAGCCACTGTGGCACTGGGGAGGGCTGCAGAGCCCTGGGGTGCCAGTGCCCCTCGAGAGCTGCCACCAGTGCCAGGCTCCCACCCTGCCCGAAGCCATCGTGGTACTGGGGAGCACTGCGGACCCCCGGGGGTGTCACAGCCAGTCAGGAGCTACCGGTGTCCCTCGGGAGCCACAAGTGCCAGGCTCCCACCTGTGCCAACACCTCATGCCACCCATGGCATTGGCAGGTGCTGGACGGGCACGGTGCAGGTCTGCCCCGTGCCTGCCGTCCCCCCGTGCCCGGCGCAGCCCCCCAGGGCAGTCGGTACCATCCCTGCAATAGAACAGACCCGCACCTCACGCTCCCACACGCGGTGTCCCCAGCACGGTCCCCCGTCCCCGGCTGTCCCCGCGCCCCGGGTCCGTCCCCGGCTGTCCCCGCGCCCCGGGTCCGTCCCCGGCTGTCCCCGTGCCCCGGGTCCGTACCGTCCTTGCGGTAGAAGCAGATCTCCACCTTGCGCTCCTCGGCCCCCAGCAGGGCCTGTGCGATCTGCGCGGCCGCGCGGCGCTGGGTGCGGGGCCCGTGCAGGAAGTCGCAGGTGCTGGGCTGCTGCATCACCTCGGCCCGCGAGTACCCGCAGAGCCGGCAGAACCCCTCGTTGCAGTAGATCACGGCGCAGTTCTCCACCCGCGCGTTCCCGATGATGAACTTGCGGCCTGGGGGGAGAGGGGACACGGGGGGTCAGGACCGAGCACCCCCAGCCTGGCAGCCCACCCGTCCATCCGTCCAGCCGTGGCTCTGGGCTCCCCAGGACAAACACCCTGTGAGTTGGCCCCCCTCCTCCCCAGGGACTCCCTAAGCTGATGGCACCACCACCATGGGGACCCCAGAACTGTGGGGACCCCATAGACACAGGGACACTCACCCCCACTGGGACCTGGGACCCCACAATTGCAGGGACCCAGGGACTCAAAACACTGCAGGGACCCCCCCAAGGACCCCACTACCATGAGCACTCAGGGACCCCCACCACTGCAGGGACGTCGTCATCATGGGGACCCCACAATGGCAGGCACCTCATCACAGCAGGGACCCCACAACAGGGACCCCAGAACTGCAGGGAGCTCATCATAAGGGGGACCCCACAACAGGGACCCCAGAACTGCAGGGAGCTCATCATAAGGGGGACCCCACAACAGGGACCCCAGAACTGCAGAGATCACACAGCACCCAGCACTGCAGGGACCTCATCACCACGGGGACCCCCAAATCTGCAGAGACCCCTTAAGGACACAGCTACCATGGGGACCCCCACTCCAAAGGCAGGGCTTCAGCCAGGCCAGACCCCCCAGCCACAGCCTGTCCCCCAGCACGGTAACACCCCCCAGCCCAGCCCGTGGGGCAGCATCGCCCCGTCACTGCCCTGTCCCCAGGGCCTGACCCCCACCAGATGCTGGGGACCCCCAGACCCTCCATTCCCACATGTCCCCCTGGTCTCCCTGCACCTGTGGCTGGGCAGCGGGCTGGGGGGGCCATGGGCCAGGTGGGACCCCCAGTCCCACAGCAGCCTGGGCCAGGGGCAGGGTCTCCATCACCCCTCGGGGACTGGGGGAACCCCTGAGCTGTGGGCTGCTGGGAGCCGGGGCGGGTGGTCCCCCCAGTCAGGCTTCTCCCCATCACCTCAAACCCACCCGGGGCTGGGGGCTGCTGGGGAGTTCTGGGGGCTTCTGGGGGCCAGGGTGGGCAGTGTCCCCCCTCTCCCCGAGCTGGGTTTGTCCCCAGTCACCCCAAACCCACCTGAGACTACCGTCTCCCTGGTCCTCCCCATCCCGGGTCCCCCCAGTGTCCCCTAACGCCCCCATCCCGGTCCCCGCCGCCCCGTCCCTCCCACCCCCGGCTCCCCCGGCCCCGCCCCTCCCGGGTCCCCCCCCCCCCGGCCCCGGTGCCCCCCCAGGGCCCC